GCCCCCCGCCCCCAAGCGGAGAGGCAGACCTCCAGGCTCGAAGAACAAGCCGAAGCCTCCGAAGACGGTGCCCGCCGAAGAGGCCGTCCCAGCACCGGCTCCCGAGCCCGCGCAGCCTCCGAAGGCTCCGAGTCCGGCTCCCGCCCCTCCCGCCCCTCCCGCCCCCGAGCCCCCCGCAGAGCCCGTCAGGATGACGCCTGCGCAAGAGCGGGCCCTAAGGTACATGCAGCGGCAGGACCGGTACATGGAGCTGCTCGCACGAAATACGCACGAGCTATAAAGGAACCATGATGCCCCTCGAGCGGCGCAACGAACCCTTCATGCTTCGGCAGTTCCACAAGATGTATCCCAGCTATAACCTCAATCCCCTGTTGCGCCGGCGGCACCAGCAGCTCGTGGAGGCGCAAGCCTTCAATCAGTGGCTCTCCAACCGGCGCCTCCGGCAGGAGGGCGAGGCCTTCGCCGACGAGCTCGGCAGAATGACTGAAGCGGTCAACCGGCACATCCCGCAATTGCGCTACGCCCCGGCGGAGCGGCAGGGCGTTCACAGGATGGCAAGGGATGTGGCCGCAGGTAGAAACACGAGCGACTCCCAGGTCTATGGCGGTCTTACCAGCCCGGGCTGTTCGACATCATAGCAAGCATCACTTAACAAAAGAACCATCGATTAGCTTATTCGATGGTTAAATCTTGGTTTTTCATTTCTCGATATTGGATCGATGAAAAATATCGCAGAACATGCACGTCCTGGAACTTTGCCGTCACGTATACAACATGCTCCGGAAATTGCGATGGAGCTGCTGATCTGGCGCAGAATTTTGTTGAGTGGAGTGAAAATTCACAGTTTTCGGTGTAAACGTGGATCTCAAGTTGTCGTGCCTACAGCAACCTTGTTGTAGTTCTGTGTTGCCCTATATGTTTCCTGCTAAAAAATGTTGTTGTGGTCGTCGTGGTCGTAGTCGAAGTTCGCAGTCGTGGTCGTCGTTGTCGTCGTCATTGTCGTCATCGTTTGTGCTCTGGTGTGTGGTCGCGGCTTGGTCTGTAGAATTTGTATCATGTGTTTGTTATATGTGTGTGTTTGTATGTATATGCATGTGTATATATATATATATAGATATATATGTATATGTACATATATATATATTTATATGTTCACACACACCACCACCACCACCACCACCACCACCACCACACACACACACACACACCCCAGAGGGCAAGAGCAAGAGAGAGAGGCAGAGAGTGAGAGAGAGGCAGAGAGAGAGAGCGGGAGACTGCGACAGCGGCACAAAGCTCTCCGGTGCAATCGCTCCGAGGGATTTTTTATCGCCACCGAAGGCAAGCCTGCAATGCATACTTCATGCATGCGTGTTTCGCAAGATTTGCCGGTTGGCACTTGGAGGCGATGCCTTTGCACCGCCTCACAAAATCTTCGTTGAGATAGTTGTGCATATGTCGCAAGTTAAGAGGAAGCGTATCGAAGATAGCGTGCTCGACCATGTGATTTTTCGGTCGCACCGGCCACCGGCACAATCCTGCCTGTAATGCTTCTCCGTTGAGGCGGGCATAGCCCGCTCGAAAAACCATATAGGCCGTTCTCATAGTCTGAACTGCATCACCGGAAAGCTTTCTCCCACTTTTCAGCATGATTGTCTCAAGAGTGGCGAGGGACATACATACACCTGCCCGAATCCTTGGGAGCGAGATTTAAACTCGGGTTTGGTATCTAGGGTTTGGGGTTAGGGTTTAGGGTATAGGGTTTAGGGTTCAGGGGTTAAGTTTAAGGTTTGGGGCTTGGGTTTAAAATTTGGCCAAGGATCTCGTAGAAGGGATCACCGGGGTGCTGTTCCAACAAGTATGCCATAAGCTGACCCAACCAAAATATGGCATACCGTGCTGCTGCTGCCGAGAGATGCTTTTGCGATATGTTCAAGTACTCCTTGGAAGTAGGATGAAGGGTGGCACTGGTGAAAAGCTTCCTGGAAGCTCTGTCCACCACACCTGTCGACTTAAGCTCCATACAGTTCGATATAGGGTTTAGGGCACAGGGTACCTTATTTAAGGTACTAGACTCCAGCTCGAGCCTGCGTCTTCGCACCAGCTTCGGTAGGACTCGAAGAGTGATGATAGCTCAGATTCTCGCTGCGGCCCATCGCTAAGATCGCAGAGCAAGCTTCCCAAAATGTCGGGGTACATTGCCAGGTGCAGCAAGTGCATAATGTCCGGCCAACTTCCTTAATCTAGAATCTAGAACAAAAACATCCTGAACATCGGGCTTATAAGCCTCAAGGTGTATAGTCTCAAGGTTCCGGGCTCCGAAGAGTCATAACTCTAGCTGGAAAACCCAAGACCCTAAACCCCAAACCAAAAAACAAATATTGAACAAAATCTGATAACAGATTTGTGAGCTTCGCCATGGGCAGAAGCCCGTGATCTGCGTCAGCGGGCTCGCCCCGTGGATTCGGCGAAACTCGTCGGCGTCCTTCAGCAGCGTCTGTCGGTGTGCAGCCTGCCCTCCGAAGTTAACGAACAGCAAGTTTGGATCATTTGCAGCCCCATGGTCGTCGTTGACGTAAGTCCATTGAAGTGCCTCTCGGGATCTCGGGTTCGCACAGATATTGCTACTTCAACTTCATACAAGTGTGCATGCAATCCGCCTCGCATAAAAAGCAGCATTGTTGTCGGGAATAATCGCCTCAAATCGGCGGCAAGTTATTGGGTCGGTTTAGGGTTCGGTATAGATTTATAGGGCTATATATCTAGGGTTTAGCGAAAATATAATGAAGCTGAGGTTCGCTTCAAGAAAAAAATTTTCTTGATGAATTCAAGGTCGGCCTGGAAGCCGTCAAGGATTCCGCACTTTCCGCCTGCTAATGGGCGCCCTGCGACCTTCCACCGGAGGGGTTCGTACTCGTTGCTGAACAATCGTCCCCAAGCATCGGTTGAGGGATACCGGCCGCTTGCTAGCGATTCCATAGACCAGGACAAAACTTCTAGAATAGCCCATCTTGATTCATCGCTGTGATACATCATGTTCAAGCATGATAACCTCGGATGCAGGATCATGGTTATAAACTTCGCCTCGACACCGATTGGAATTATATGCAGTCCAGTCGCAAGAATCTGCCATCCATCGTGGACGATCTACTAAGCGGTGAGATCAAGCAGAACATCTCGAATTTCTGCTTTTCTTGGTTTGGACAGAATGAAGGCAAAGCTGTTGGATATCACAGCATGTCGCAAAACTTGTTTGCAAATGGGCTGCTGGTGAACTCTGCCCCATCGCCATAGAGGCGTAGCGGAACACAGTCTCCCCAGTCGGATGCCTGAACTTCGCCATGTCTTTAACAATAGCACCAAGACACGGCACGTATACCTCGATGCAGCTGAGGAACATTACTCAGGATCGGATGATCCCGGCACCACTGCTGATCTTGATCTGCCCAGTAATCCCGAACCTTGGATTGCACGGAATGCCAAGCGTTTGAAATCGAGACACAGTGGGCTTAGGGTTTCAGGCTTGAGTTGGTGTGTTAGGATTTGGGGCGTAGCTTGTATTTCTGCGATCCAGGCTAGCAGCATGCTGAGTGCTCTCGTAGAGCAAATCCGCATGACCAGCATCATGCAGCGAAGCGAAAATCTCGTGAGGAAGAAACATGTGGTGGGTGACCTCCCGGGTAGTTCTAGCCCCACGAGCATCCTGGTAGCAGGCTGTGAGGGGGAACCTTGGTTCGTGTGTTCGGAGGATTTCTGGCTTTATACGATTTGGACGGAGCAGTGCAGCTTGGGCTCGTAAATGTCATCGGCAATGCCTTCCTCCAAGGCTGCTTGTGTATCCATCGTTCCAAGAGTCGCATCTGCCCCCAGGAATTAATTTCCCCACGAAATGAAGTGGCCAGCTCCAGCAAGTCTGGCCTCGGCGGGTGAATCGAGGCCCAAGTACATTCATAACATTAATGGACGAGGTGCGGCACCAGGGCATGAGGGAGCCGGTACACACTTTGCAACGATGTCGCCACATCCGCCAACGGAACCTTCAGGGTTTGGAGGGATCTTATTGTTTCTGTCATGTAGTCGTGACATTGATCGTGCACAAACCATGCACCTGTCCATTGGAAAGATGTTTCAAGACTTGGTCGCAGGTCTCTTGCACATAGTTTCGCATGTAATCGCCAGCATCATTCGAAGAAGCGGACATCACCAAAGTCTCTATATGTTTAGGGTCTGAAACAGCTAGGGTCTGGGTGTGGGGTTCAGGGTTTATGTTGGTTTAAGAACCCACACTCGGGACTGGGCTCGTGCTTATGATGAGGCTTCGGGGCTCGGGTTCATGGGTTTCGGCGCTCACGGGGTTCAATTTAGGGTTTACAGCTTATAATAGGGTTTGGGCTTCTACGGTTGTCCATGATGACACAACAGCTGGGCCAGCTGAGTTGCAAGCTGAGGCGGCACAGCACTGATGCACTGGGACGACTTCATACACATGGTCACATGGGTCTGCAGGCAGCGACTGCTCACGACTCCAATCTTTTCTTGCGGACTCATCACGAGTATTCGCAGCAGGAACACAGAAGCCATGCGTGTATGCATGGGGCAGGGTCTCGAGTGCTCAGTGTCCCCGGAAGTCTGGAGTGGTTTTATGCATCGGGCTAAGCTATGCGTGCAGCCGACTAGCAGAGTCTAAGATGCCTGCTGCATGCACACCGGCCACACACACTCCGATCCTGCAGACCCCAGGAAAATTAAATAAGCCTTCTCGCTTGCGAGACAGCATTTTATTTCCCAAACGATTTTCTGAATTGCAGTGCTGCGGTATTTGCCATGTGCTTTTTCTGTCGTGCATTTGTGAGTGCTGGCAACACTTTGTGCGACATGTTCGGTGATGCGATTCCTTTGATCTCTGTAGCATTTGGGCTGTGTGCAGCCGTGAGATCAATTTTGTTGCGCGTACCAGTGGCATCGTGGACACTCTGCCCAGGCTCCCCTGGGAGTCTGGAGTTATGTCGTGCATTTTCGGCAATGGCACTTTAGAGCATCCCGTCTTGCGGCAACCTTGCCCTCCGGCATTAGAGGATTCTGCAGACCCAGCCCCTGAAGATGTGCCGTGCATACGTGTCAGGTCTGCCCCGTGCACACTCTTCGAGAAATCCTTTTCTGCGAGGGCCGATATCTCTACCCAAGCTGAGGACGAACACCTTTGGGTCTTAGCGATCAACAAGTGGTGTTGCATTTTTAGCTTGGCTCAGAGTGACCCTGGGCAGGTCGGGGAGCAGGCTGCTCAGTGCTTGATTGCAGAGGGTCAGTCGGCCAGGGACGAATTGATTCGGGATGTCTTCGGAATTAAATCCCCTAGGACTGCGATCAAGCGTGCCAATTCTTTGCTTAGGTGCTTGAGGTGGCATCTTAGAGAAAGGCAGGCCGCCTGGCCCTGGGACTGTGGCTCATTTACCGACTTTGTAAAATCCCTTGGGGTTGGTGCAAGTGCAGTCGCAGGCCTCTTTGAAGCTGTGAATTTTGCACATCATGTTATGGGCATGCCGTTCTGCAAAGAGATCCTTGAGGACCGCAGGTTGCAGGGTCGGGCCAAGAGGCTTGAGGGCGAGCGAGCAGAGGTGAAACAGCAGGATCCTCTCACCGTGGAGTGTGTTGCAAAACTGGAGAAGCTTGTGGCCAGCAACTCTTTGTGTGATGCAGACACTTATGTGCTGGGTGGGATTGTCTTCTGTCTGTATAGCCGCTCGAGGTGGTCCGATCTTAGAAATCTCAGGTGTATATGGGTGGACTTTGAGGGCGACGACCAGCAGTCTGGATTTGTAGAAGCGAGGACCCGTGATCACAAGACCAGCAATACAGTCAAGACGAAGAGGCGTGCGATGCCTCTGGTGGCCCCGTTTCCCGGAGTCACTGATGCCAACTGGGTGAAAGCCTGGTGGAATGCCGGGCTGCGTCTCGGTGTGCAGTGGGATTCAGAGCCCTTTGGGCCTCTGGTCCGTGCCCCAGATGCCGAGGGCCAGCTGTGCAAGAGACGGTGCACTTCAAGCGAAGCCGGTGTGATGTTGTGCAATGCCTTGGACCTGGATGGAGACCAGAGGCGTACGTCACATGTCTTGAAGGGTACGACTTTAGCTTGGGTGGGCAAGCGCGGCTTCGGAGAGCGGGATAGCCTTCTTCTTGGTCACCATGCTCCGGGCTCAGGCTCGTTGGCATGCTACAGTCGGGAATTGTTGAGCGCGCCCCTTCGCGCATACAGGGCTATGCTTGCCGAAATCAGGACGAACGTCTTCAGGCCAGATAGTACCCGATCGGGATGGCTCTCAAAGGATTCTCTTCTGCCCACTTTTGGGGAATTTGCAAGTGTTCAACTTGGGAGCTCAGGCGGTGCCTTCGGCCTTGGTGCACAGCTAGGGCATGAGCCAGTCGATGTGGGGCATCAGACAGAAGTACCAGGAGAGCTTGAACATTATTATGCGAACAATTTGCCTCCAGACTTACCGGGCTCCTCACGGCCAAGCGAGCTGGGTCGTGATGATGGCTCCTGGGATCATGTTGAGCACCCTTTGCCCGATGCTGGGGAGCAGGGACTCGAATCTGGGAGTGAGGCGCTCTTTCCTGAATTGTTTGGGGACAGTGCGCGGGACACGACACTGGAGGGCTGTGACGCAAGTTCATCCTCTTCGTCTTCGAGCTCATGCTCTTCAGAGGCCAGTGAGACGGAAGAGCAAACTATCACAGCGAGTGGTGTAAGCCAACCGTTTGAGATTCATGAGCCATGCTGGCAACACATCAAGTCGAGGATGCTTCATCGCCCGCAAGGCGGGCAGGCAGCGTGCAAAACGAAGTGTGGGAGACGCACGGCCAATGTGTACAGGTGGCTAGAGGGAGCCTTTTTCCGGTGGCCTAGGTGTGCAGTCTGTTGGAAAGGAGAACTGTTAGATTCCACTCGTGCCCTCAATGAGCGGCTTGATGAGCTTATGAACCGTAATGACGGTGCGTGAAAAATTCCGTGTTGCATAGTTGGAGTGCCTTCTGATGTGCGCGGCTCTGGAGTTCAGTGGAGATTGCTCAGGTCCTGAATGCAGTAGATAGCGTTGTGTGTTGCGGGTGCGCATCCCAGGGAGTGCCCTGGTTGTGAGTTCTGTCTTTTGCGAGTGCGCTCTGGCTGAGGGAGACATGAACATGCATGCGACATTACATGCTACTCCTAATTGGACTGTGCCTCACATGTTAGGTGCTCTCTGACTTGCGTGTGTGTCAGTCACGGAGGTTGGTGTTCCATAGTTCGCTGGGCTGTGCTCTTTAGTCGGCATGGCTGCGCTTTCGCTCTTAACCTCCACAGCTGCCCTTGACAGGCAGTGCGAGCGTGCAGGCTTGACAGCCCCGTGGGTCACCGCCTTGAAAGAATCAGGGATCACTACGTTAGGGAAGCTTAGCTATGCTGTGACGCTTCCGGGGAATCAACCTTCGAGTGATGACATGGATGCTTTCATCTTGACCCTCCGGCCGGGAGCGAGAATCACCTTAGGGGACAGCTCCGCTTTGAAGCAGCTCATCTTTGAATCTCAGACCATGACTGTGGCTGAGCTGAGATCTTCGATGCAGGCTACAGACGAGGTGCCAAGGAAACTGCCGGCATCGGAGCGCTCCATGCGCATTGATGCTCAGAAGCGTCGGCTGTCAGGATTGCCACTGGAAGGCCCTCTCGCAGTCGCTCATTGTGTGTATGACAGGTTAGCAACCATGCGTGAGAATGATGAATTGAAGTATCTGGCCCCCAATGAATGCATCACTCGTGATGAGGAGCTTTCCCAAAGCCTTGCACCTTGATGCAAATAAGACGGGGTTAGTGTTGAAAGATGAAGAGGCAACGGCTGCCATCTCTCTTGATAGCGACCTGTCCCTGTATCAAGCAATGATGAGGCGTGCCTTAGCTATGGACTTAGTGGGCCTCGCTTCTTATGCTTGCGTGCAGAAGTGGAATGAGCGCCTTTTCCGCATCATGAGCCAGGACCCGCCTCCCGAGTTTCAGCGTGTCTCCCGTGCGCAAGTGCTGCGAGCTGACCGGCAGTGTTTCTTGGAGCTTGCTCGTGTGTGCAATGGAAACTCGAAACCTGGTCCTGATGGGTCCCTCCCCTTGGATAAGGAGTTTGAAAAGCTTGAGTTCAACACTACTGTGATGTACTTCTTGTTGCCTGTGAAAGGCCGGGGCAAGGGAGGAGGCAAGGCTGATAAGGATGGTAAGGATCGTAAGCGCACAAAGACCACAAATGATGGTAAGAGCCCGAACAAGAAAGCCAAGATCACGCGCGACCCGATTCCCGAAGTTCTCAAGGGTATGCACTCGAGAACACCAGACAACAAACCGATCTGCTTCAACTTCAACTTGGGCAAGTGCAAGGCCGGAGCCAAATGCAAGTTTAAGCATGTGTGTTGCAAGCCTGGGTGTTACAAGCCGCATCCCATGAGCGAGCATGACTCTTCGAAGAGTTCAGAGTGACAGGGGACGTGCACGGGCGATGTGATTGCATGTGCAGTGCCCGAGTGTCAGGGATCGTCCGTGCACTTAGCGAAGCCTGTTAAGGACCTCGCGCTTCGAGAGCGTGATAGAATTTTCTGTATCGAAATTTTTGCTAGGCGTGCCAGCTTGTGTGGTTGTCTCCGAACGGTGTTACCCAGCTCTTTTGCGATTGGCAGAGGGTGCTCTCAAGCTTCCGCGGCGCCTGTAGTTCCCGTTGACATTTTGTCCCCCGGAGGTTTTGCATTGTGTGCATCCTGGGCTCGCGAGCCCACTTGTGCTTGGATCCACATCCGCTGTCCTACCTCCGTCTTTCATAACAAACTTTCGAATTCAGGTGATATCCAGTGTGAAGTGGAAAGGTGCATTTACATTTTTGCTCAACTGATCAAGCACTGTGCTGATACGGATACCATGTGGACCATCGAAGCGCCCTCGCGCTCGCCCTTTTGGCAGACTTCGCTGGGTCTTGAGGTGTCTTCTTCCGCGGTTGAGGTCGACTTGAGCCGCTACGCCCCAGGTGCGCGGGGTCGCATCAAGTTTGCATCTTCGTGCCCTCAGGTTCTGTCTGCCATTTCCCCGCCTGTGACGCAGCCTCCGCTTGTCAAAGCCAGCTTGGAGGCAGCTATGGGACGCATGTATCGGGCTTTGGCCCTCGTCATGCTTGAACACCTTGATGTGGACGCTTCTAGCTTACCACCTTTGTTTGCAGCTCAGGTTGGCACAGGTAAGCAACCTCGCAAGCCTCTGCTTGCACCAGTGCCAGAGTTCAAATACTTTGTTCGTGTGACCTTGAGTGCAGTGCCCATGTTGGATAACAAGCGTCGGCTTCTTCAGCCCTTGCGTGTGCATGATGTAGTTGTGCCTGCTGGAGCCAAGTTGCTCCCCCCTCTTTACTTCACCGCTGCTGAGTCTGTGAAGGGGGTGTGTCTGCCAGTCAGCGGTGACAAATCTTCCGATACACTGTTAGCCGCTGGTGAGAGCCCTCCCGCGGCTGCAATTGCAGATGACAGGAAAGCGACGTCCTCCCCTAGGGTTTCCCTGCCTGTTCCTCCTCCCCCTTTGGGTTTAGTGGATGGCTCGCCTTCTCCTTTTGGTTTAGCCGTGCCTGGCCCAGGTAGTAGAGCTGCCGCGATAACCGTGACCAGTGCAGCTGAAGCGCTAGCGGCGGACTTGTGCGACACTCCTACGCAAGCACAGCTGCTGCAGGTTTTCGACACGTTACCAGCAGAAACTCCAGCAAGGGGTGTCAAGGACGCGCGGGAGAAGGCCTGGTCCGCTGGTGCCTACTCCCAGGGTACTTTGTGTGGCTTACGAAAGAACACCAAGCTTTTTCCGAATGCCGTTCGGCTAGCTGTGAGGCTCCTGCGTTCCCGTTTTCCTCATGCCACGTTTGCCACGGTGGCAATATACTCCAATGTGTGCACTCCGATGCATCGGGATGCCAATAACTTGGATGGGAGTTCCAACTATGTGATGGCCCTGACAGACTTTGCGAAAGGGGGCATTTGGGTACAGGATGATGAGGGTCAGCATGTAAGGGCCACGCCCCTTGGAAAGGCTACTGGTCGTGTCCTGCAAGTGTGCGACAACCCTGTGGAGTTCGATGCACATTGCTTTCACTGCACTTTGCCTTGGGAGGGCTCTAGAGTCGTGTTGATCGGATTCACACCCAGTCGGGTCGGTTCTCTAAAGAAGGATGATGTGCGTGTCTTACGGGACTTAGGCTTTCCTTTGCCTGGCCACCCTATGCCGGTCTCTTGTGCAACAACGACGTGCCCCCCGGCTCACCAGACCGAGTGTGGGGAAACTGATCCTGTGGCCACGCCTGTGCAGCCGACTGTGGTCACCTGTTCGGAGGCAACGTGCCCTCCTGACCAGCCGTGCAAGAGTGGGGAAACTGAGTCTGTAGCCGAGCCTGTGCAGCAGACTCATCATGCAACCTTTGGGGTTCCCTTTGATGAGAGTGAGTTCGTGCGCGCTGCTGTGCGAGCAGGGCATCCCAGCTCTTCACTTTCCTCACTGCCGGACCACCTTGAGTCATGTGTGGATATGCTTGCTAAGGCTCCGCCACATGCTGTGGTAGACAAGAGGAGGAGTTGGCTTGACAAGTGGACAAAACGTGCGTGTGAAATTGATCGTGACCCAGATCCTTCGTGGGACATCGATGACCCGCACATGAAACGTGTCCTTTGCAAAAAGCGTCTGCAGCTGCTTGATGAAATCATTGCCGCCGAGGGCTATGATGATGTAAACCTTGCTAGGGATATCTGGGCGGGCTTCGACTTAGTGGGTACTTCGCCTGTATCCAATGTTCTGCCAGGCAAGGTTACTCCGGCCTCATTGCATCCCGATGACCTGTGTGCTGCAGCCCCTCGGGCCAATGAGGCGCTCAAGGTCTCCTTGGGTTCCTCCGGTGATAGGGAGAAGGACATCTTGTTGTGGGAAAAGACGATGAAAGAGGTTGACTCAGGCTGGCTTCTGGGACCTTTCGACTGGGACTCCTTGCCGCAGGAACATGTTGTATCCCACAGATTCCCTCTGCTGCAGAGTGGAAAGCTGCGTCCCATCGACGACTACAGCAGGAGCGGTGTAAACTCTTGTGTGACGACTTTGGAGCAGCCCACTGTGGATACTGCAGATGTAGCAGCTGCTATGTTCGTCAGGTTGTGCACGAAGCTTCGCGATTCTAAGAAACCCTCGTGGATCAAGGGTCGTGCCTTTGACTTGACGGCTGCTTACCGCCAATTGTGCGTAGCCTTAAGCTCGCGCCGCTTTGCTGTCATTGCCGTATATGACCCACACCAGCAAAGGACCATGCTATTCACTCAGGTCTGCCTCCCCTTTGGATCGCGGGCTTCAGTGAATGGCTTCATCAGGTGCTCCAGGTGCATCCAATGGCTTGCCAATCGTTGCTTGCTTGTGCCCACTACCTCTTACTATGATGATTTCATTGTCGCATCACCCGATTGTCTTGCCGACAACACGGGTGCAACAATGGAACTGCTGTTCCAACTCCTTGGTTGGGCCTTCGACATGGAGGGGCCCAAGGCTGATGTGTTTTCCCGGCAAGTGTCTGCGCTGGGACTTCGCTTTGACTTGGAGAATACCGGCGACTGCGTGGTCACTGTTGACAACACGGAGAAACGTAAAGGCGACATTCGTGCTTTTGTGACTCGCATCCTTGATGAAGGTGTGTTGCCTTACAAAGAAGGTCTTGAGCTGAGAGGCAAGCTCTCCTTTGCGAATTCTCAAGTCATGGGGAAAGCGGGCCATTACGCTCTCAAGCACATCAGTTCCCATGTTCACGCCTGGCCTTTTGTGCCCAAGCTATCCGATCCCGCTCGGGAAGCTCTTAGTTTTCTACTTGATCGTGTGTTGCATGGGGCCCCGAGGCGCATCACAAGATCGTTGGGGCAGCCCTGGTTTGTCTTCACAGATGCAAGCTTTGAGCCTGACTTCACTGGGGGTCTAGGGGGCGTTCTAATCTCTCCTTTGGGTTCGGTTGTTAGTTGGTTCGGCCTGCCCTTAAGCGAGAGCGATATTCGCCCTTTGATTCCAGTGGATGCCATCACGGGTATCGGCGAGTTGGAAACTGTCGCAGTGGTGGTGGCCTTCATGCTTTGGAGCCAGCACCTTGCGTCTTCAGATTGCATGGCATATCTTGACAATGAGGGTGCACGCTTTGCTCTGATAAAGGGCTACTCAGCTTCGTGGGCCGTCACCAGAGTCTGTCACGTCTTTGCCAGGACTTGTGAACAGAGTACCCTTTTGCCCTGGTGTGCGCGTGTGCCATCGAGCAGCAACATTGCTGATGCACCGAGTCGTAGCATTGCTTGCGATCTTTTGCCACAGGACCGAGTTGCCGATGTGTCCTCAGTCGCTGCCACATACCGGGATATCGTGCAACAAGTCATAACTCTTTCCTAACATCTCTCTTGAAGTGGGGTGGGTGAGAGATGACGGATTGCCGTTATCATCATGTGCATTGGCACATGTTGTATGCGTGTGATGGGTGTGTGCACCCTTTCTGCTTCACGATGCATGTTACTCTCACCAGACATACCCCGCTTGCGTGAAAAGAGAGAGGGTTCGACCGAGTGCTTGAGCCACGACTTTTATTATATATTGGAATTATATTTGATGGGACTTTCCCTTGGAATATATTTGATTGGACTTTCCCTTTTGTGAAATACCGCTTTCGTTGGAAATAAATAAGCCTTCTCGCTTGCGAGACAGCATTTTATTTCCCAAACGATTTTCTGAATTGCAGTGCTGCGGTATTTGCCATGTGCTTTTTCTGTCGTGCATTTGTGAGTGCTGGCAACACTTTGTGCGACATGTTCGGTGATGCGATTCCTTTGATCTCTGTAGCATTTGGGCTGTGTGCAGCCGTGAGATCAATTTTGTTCCCGCCCGCCCGCCCTGGGGTGGGTGAGAGATGACGGATTGCCGTTATCATCATGTGCATTGGCACATGTTGTATGCGTGTGATGGGTGTGTGCACCCTTTCTGCTTCACGATGCATGTTACTCTCACCAGACATACCCCGCTTGCGTGAAAAGAGAGAGGGTTCGACCGAGTGCTTGAGCCACGACTTTTATTATATATTGGAATTATATTTGATGGGACTTTCCCTTGGAATATATTTGATTGGACTTTCCCTTTTGTGAAATACCGCTTTCGTTGGAAATAAAGCCATGAGCTCACTTCACCCGCTTTGCAGGTGGCTCCTCATCTTCTGGCCACTCCTCTTGCGGCTGCGTGCCATCTCCAGGCTCGTCATCGTCGAATGCATCATCATCGTGCTCGTCTCCTTCTCCCAATTTCTTTTTTTCTTCCTTCTCTCGCTTGCGTTTCTCTGCAGCAAGGCCTGCAGAGGGAGAGATGAACCATGTGCACATCGATCATGTACATGCCAACCATATACATTTGAGGCCAAAGTGCGTCGCTTGTGGGAGTCGACGATGTCTTCTGCATCTGTGATGATTTTGCCCTTTGCCTGCAGGGATGTGGAAACATGATGGTCTTGGGCTTAGGGTTACTATTCTAGGGCTTATAGGGGCTTAGGGTTTAGGTGTCGTTGTGGTTTTTTATATGAGACATGCACACGGAAGCCTCCAGTGCCGGCTTGTGCTCATCCAGGGCAGCAACACATTCCTCCGTAGGCGTGCAGGCGAAAACCATTTTCTGAAGCCTCGGGTTGATGCATATACTCGAACATGACTCGGTCGATGATGCATGCATGCAGCAGCGACTGGTCGCAGATTAAAGTAAGTAGATAATGCCACTCCGAGCATCTCGTTAAAGATGCCGATGCAATCCGTCGAGATCTCACCGAGGTTCTGCACCATTTTCTGTCGATCAGGCAAGCACACGTTGGATTGGGACATCAGAGGGTTAACTTTTGGGTTTAGGTGGAATGAATGTGAGGCCTGCAGACATGACCCAACAAGATCTGATCCCTGCCTCCTGGTTTTTGATGCCATAAGACGTAATCGAGGTGGCCAGCAGAACAGCTTTATCCGAAAGGGCCCGTACCCTGAGTTGGGTTTGCATGCTGCGTGGCAACAAGCAAGCGAATATATGTAGCTTCGGAACCCCATATGATCACGTTGAAAGTCTTTGTTCATCTTCTCGTCGGCCGTCAGCTCCTCAACAGGCACCGTTTTGGTATTCGGGGGGGAGAGTTTAGGGTATATGGGGTTCTAAGTGGTTAGAAGCGTTTCAGGGCCAGGGCTTTGGTGTGTGTAGGCTTGGCTACATGCAGGCCACAGTCTGGATTGGGGTTTAGGTTGTAGGGTTATACGGTGCGGCGTGGGTTTGGGGTTTAGGGTTCGTGGTTTAGAGTTTATATATAGGGTTTAAACTGTGATGTAGAGATATGTAGAGTCGCACTAAGATCATGGTCACACACACACACACTAGCTTTATCTCTCGTTCTCTCCCCTCCCTGGCCTTCTTCGGCTTTGGTTTCACCTTGGGCTTGGGCCCGTCGCCGCCGGTTACGGCGGGCTTGGACATAGCATTCACCTTCATTTCAAGTGTCTCCGCCAGGGCCTGGCGTTCTTTGCCGTTCTGCGACGGCGTGATACTCGCACTGGTGCGGCTGCCGCTGCGGTTGATCTGGGAATCTCGGCGGCATTCTTTTATAGGTGCAGACGTATCAGATCGATGTGCACAGGCAAGCAAACAGCACTAGAATGCAGTCTGGCGTCTCAGGTTGTCGATGCACTTAAAGATCTTGTAGATTCTCCAATTGGGGTCCGTAGTCTGGGGGTGCTCCTTGCCCTTCTGGCCTGCATGGGATCTATTTAGAAAACCCTAACCCTAAAGCCCTAAACCCCAAACCGAAAAGGAACAAGTCAGCTCCGGAATCTCGGGCGAGCACTTTTTTGCAGGTCCTCCACAAACTTCTCCCCTCCTGGGAGGTGAAGGTACTTCTCCTTGATCTCGCATAGTGGGAGTTCGATAAACCTTTCTGTGTTCTTTTGCTCCGAGAGCCTTGGATGAGCTGCAGCGAGGGTTAGGGGTTTCGGGTTTAAGGGTGTTTGGACCAGCGGCTCTTCGAAGTACGGTTGGATCTCGATGGCCGTCATATCGCGATCTAACAGATATGCCTTGAGGAAGGCAAACCTGGGTTCAGGATTGGGTTTTAAGGTTTTAAGATTTTTTGAGGCTTTAAGGGGTTTAGGGTTTAGTGTGATGCCTGGGCACTTGTCCTGCGGGGACACCGCCGACTGCCACTGCTCAACCAATCCTTTGCGTAGTCCTCGTATATATAGCAGATCGAAGTAGAAGTATTCCTAAACCCTAAACCCCTATAACCCCCTAAGCATGAAAGCGAACCTTGTGCATTCTTCATGCGGCGTCGGAGGCCCTCGTTGAGCCGCTTCCGTTCAACCAGATCGATATCCTCGGGTCGTTCCAAAGCCTTAGAGTCACCAAGTCGTGCGAGGAGCCTTGAACTAAACTGCGAGGTTACTATAATAATATGGATGGAAGCAAGCCACCTCGATCTCCTTGATCTCCTGCTCCGACAGACTCCGAGCCTCCAGCGGTTCGTGGGGCCTAGGGTCTGGGGATTATAAGCAAAGGTGCAAATAAGGCCAGGAATGGAATTCAATTGAGCCAAATAACATCATTCGGGTTGCCCTTGAAGACGAAACCCTTCTTTCTGGGAGTGCTCGAATCGGCCGGTGATGGCTCCAAGTCCGATGCTTCAGTCCCCCATGAGTCAGCGGTGTCGGTGCGGCGTGGCCTTAAGTGCATGTGTTGCGGGCAGCAGCAACGACTTTTGAAGATTTCAGCCAAGCGACCTCTTGGAGTCCGCCTCCTGCTGGGGATCCACTGTTTTGCCTGATGGACACAGAAACAGACAGGTCTTGAGAAAGACCAAGATCGGAAGTTGAAAAAACGACCCAGCATGAGAATGGTCTGAGTCTAGGGCTTTTTTTTATAGGGGTTTTTCGGTTTCCGAAACCAAGGACCCAGACCCTCGAGAGGGGCCTTTGGATTCGCTCTTTCCACCAGCCTCGCCCCAGGATCTCTTCTGCTGATTGAGGACAGCCTGTCCTTCATTCGAGCCTCGGCCACCTTAGTTGCAATATTATACGACCAGCCCAAGAGGCACAATTTTATTAACCTCACGAAGCAGCATGCATGTCATGTGTATATACAATATATCACATGCATGTGTGTGCGTGTGTATACATGTATACGATATATGCATGCCAAGACATGAGCCCCCCGGCCTCCCACAGCTTTCTGCGGGCTTTCTTGCTGGCCTTTCGCAGGCACACCGAACAGAGCTTCGAAGCCCTCTTTTGTGCACAAGCCCATCTTCTCGCCTCCCCCCTTCTGGGCAGGTGTTCGTGCAGTGCTCTTTGTTTTGCCCTTTCCTTCTTCTTTTCCCTTTTCCTGGCCCTTCTCGACGGCAGCTTTGCCCGGAGTGCCCTTGTCCTGTCCCTTTCCTTTGCCTTTCTCCTGGCCTTTCTCGGTTGTGGTTTTGCCCTTCTCTTTCCCTTTTCCCTTCTCCTGGTCTTTTTCGGCCGTGGCTCCTGGAGTGTCGCCTTCCTCCTTTCCTTTTCCTTTGCCTTTGTCCTGGCCCTTCTCGGCTGAAGCTTTGCCCTTTTCCTTGCCTTTTCCCTTCTCCCGGCCCTTCTCGGCCGTGGTTCCTGGAGTGCCGCCTTCCTTTCCTTTTCCTTTTCCCTTCTCCCGGCCCTTCTCGGCCGTGGTTCCTGGAGCGTCGCCTTCCTCCTTTCCTTTTCCCTTTCCCTTTTCCTGCCCTTTGTCGACGGCAGCTTTGCCCTTCTCTTGTCCTCTTCCTCCCTTTTCCTGGCCTTTCTCGGCTGTGGCTTTGCCCTTCTCCTTCCCTTTTCCCTTCTCCTGGTCTTTTTCGGCCGTGGCTCCTGGAGTGTCGCCTTCCTCCTTTCCCTTTCCTTTGCCCTTCTCCTGGCCCTTCTCGGCTGAAGCTTTGCCCTTTTCCTTGCCTTTTCCCTTCTCCCGGCCCTTCTCGGCCGTGGTTCTTGGAGTGCCGCCTTCCTTTCCTTTTCCTTTTCCCTTCTCCCGGCCCTTCTCGGCCGTGGTTCCTGGAGCGTCGCCTTCCTCCTTTCCTTTTCCCTTTCCCTTGTCCTGGCCCTTCTCGGCTGCAGCTTTGCCCTTCTCTTGTCCTTTTCCTCCCTTCTCGTGGCCCTTCTCGGCTGCAGCTTTGCTCTTTCCTTTTCCTTTTCCCTTCTCTTGGCCTTTCTCGGCCGTGGTTCCTGGAGTGCCGTCCTCCTTTCCTTTTCCTCTTCCCTTCTCCTGGCCCTTCTCGGCTGCAGTTTTGCTCTTCGCTTTTCCTTTTCCCTTCGCCTGGTCCTTTTCGGCCGTGGTTCCTGGAGTGCCGCCTTCCTCTTTGCCTTTTCCTCTTCCCTTCTCCTGGCCCTTCTCGGCTGCGGCTTTGCCCTTTTCCTTTCCTTTTCCCTTCTCCTGGTCCTTTTCGGCCGTGGTTCGTGGAGTGTAGCCTTCCTCCTTTCCTTTTCCTCCCTTCTCGTGGCCCTTCTCGGCTGCAGCTTTGCCCTTTCCTTTTCCTTTTCCCTTTTCCTGGCCCTTCTCGGCCGTGGTTCCTGGAGTGCTGCCTTTCTTTCCTTTTCCTTGTCCCTTGTCCTGGCTTTTGCCCTTCTCGGCACTTTGGGCTTCCGTGGTGCCTGCAGCAGACAGACACAAAGGAAGCATGCATATATATGTACATGTATATAGGTATATTATATACAAACACACTGTGTCGTGGTGCAGGTTGCAATTGCAAGTCAGCGATAAACATTCGCCGCCCCCGGCCTTCTTCGGCCTTTTCCTTTGGCCCCCACCAGTCAGCCCACTGGCCCCACTGCTCCCAAAGCACTTCCCTTTCGTCGGCAGGGCGACTACGGTCGACCCAACCCCAGGCAGCCCATGAGGAGTCGCTCATGCTAGCAAAAGCAGCGATTGCAGCACGAGTGTTAAAATAGTCGAACAGTAGCCTATTTTCAGAGGGTGATCTTTCGAAGAAGCTACAAATGGTCATGTTTCACATCCGAACATGTTTCGAGCTCAGCCTCGAGATGGCGATCATGGGACACACACAGATACACGCTGATACACGCTATTCGGTGGTTATTTACCATCACATACACGCAGATACACGCTGATACACGCTCGCCCCGCTGTGATGCAAAAACATGTTTTGCACGTGCCCGTTCCGGATCGCGAGATAGTGAAACCGTGTCGGCACTTAACAGACTGTTCAATTACACATCGAACACTGAATGCTTGCAACACACAGCAATTACATTGCAGCCAAGCATGGATCCATATATAATAATCTCGTCATCAGGATAACCAATCTCTGCGAGCTCAGCGAAGCATCGAGATGCGGTTCCTCAGTGGATGGGCCACGACTGCATTTATGGTAATGTATAGTAGTACTACCATAATAGTAGTAATATAGTGGTATAGTGGTAGTAGTAGTGGTAGTAGCAGTAGTAGTGTAGTAGTACTAGTAGTAATAGTAGTAGTATATAGTAGTAGTAGTAGCAGTAGTAGTAGTACTAGTAGTACTAATAGTAATATAGTAGTAGTAGTAGTAGTAGTAGTAGTAGTAGTAGTAGTAGTAGTAGTAGTAGTAGTAGTAGTAGTAGTAGTAGTAGTAGTAGCAGGAGTACTAGTAGTACTATTAGTACTAGTAGCACTAGTACTAGTATAGTATATAGTGTTATATAGTACTAGCTAGCTAGTATAGTAGTAGTATAGTATAGTCTAGTATAGTATAGTCTATAGTAGAGTAGAATAGAAGTAGAAGAAGAAATGGTAGCACCATTATAGTAGTAGTCGAAGATCGAAGAAGTATAGTAGTCGTAGTGGTATATATAGGTAGTGGTATAGTGGTATAGTACGTGGTAGTGGCAGTGCTAGTCGTAGTGGTAGTTGTAGTGGTAGTATTATAGTGTATATAGTAAGATCGAATAGTATATAGTAGTCCTAGTGGTATAATAGTAGCAAACCGGAAACCATATCCGAAACCGGAAAGCATGATTTAAGCTGTGCGAACTAATTGGGTTTGGGGGTCTACAATCGGCTTCTTCAGGGTTCGGGTATATCTGGGTCCGAAATCCATCAATGAAGCAAGCGGCGGCATGATCCGATAAGGCCCATGGGATCCAGCATCCATCCAATCCCATCCTGAATAGAGCGGCTCATGTGTACAAGTATCGTGCAGCAGAGAACTTACAATATAAGAGTAGTATAGTAATATTAGAAGGTCGTGGCAGTACTAATGGAGTAGTAGTCGTAGTAGTACTAGTAGTAGTATACCTAGTAGTACTAAAACCTGCAACCCTAAAGCCCAAACTCGGAACCTCCGAAACCCCTGAACCAATCTCTTCGACTTGGGGTTGGCGTCCATGTAACAAGCCTTTGTTATTATAGGGTGTGGGGTATCTAGGGAATGACAACCATCAAATCAAGATTCGAGCAGCGACGTAGTAAATAATGGCAGTGATACTGGTAGCGGTGTAGTGTTACAGTGGTATAGTGGCATGCATAGTATATATAGTAGTTAAGGTGGTGGTGGTGGTATAGTATAGTGTATAGTACTCATCTATATATGTATAATTATATTAATATACAGCATTGCAATATATAGCAATGTAGCAGGAGCAGCAGCAGTAGTAGTATTAGTAGTTTATGACATAGTACAGATACAGAGTACATATATATATATATAGCAGTCGATCGTATAGTTTACGATACACTAGCATTGCAACCCCCAAAGCACTGCAATACACAATCCAAGGATGCCATGTACCCTAAACCCCAACCCCAAACCCTAAACCCTAAACCCTATAAACCCTGCTCCTCCTTGTCCCCTCTGTCCTCTCCCTCTCCCTCTCGCTCGCTCTCTCTCTCTCTCTATATCTCTCTCTCTCTCTCTCTCTCTCTCTCTCTCTCTCTCTCTCTCTCTCTCTTCTCGCGGGCACTTTACACTTGTAGATTTTACTCACATGACAAGCGACACTGCTGCAAGCGTATGAATTCGAACAATCAACAAGCCGACATGCAATCCCAAGGCCCCCCAGCATGAGGCCGTCACTCTTCCATCGATCTGTCAGATTGCTGCAACAATGCCATGCAAGATGGTTTTGTAAACAAGTCCCGCCAGCTCTTGTTGCCAGGTGCAGCATCGATCAAAGTATGATCTATGTGTATTCCAATAAGTATACATAGACCCTGAACCCTAAGCCCAACGAGTTGCTGGGACTCAAAGGATCAGGATAGACCTGTGCTAAACCCGGAAACCCTGTACCCTAACCCCGCCGAAACCCTGAACACAAAACAGTGTCGGCATTGATGTGATCCCAAAAGACTTGAAATCCTAAATCCCAGATACCCACAAACCCTGAACCCTAGAACCCCCAAACCCTGAACCCTAAAAACACTCAAGCCCCTTTGAACCCAAAAGCACACAAAACCCTCCACTCCATTAATTGAGGGCCCACATGGACGATTTGGGGTTGGCAGTACAGGTTCGGGGTTTGCAATTTAGGGTTTGGCGCTTAGGGTTCGAAGGGCTCAACAACAAGCCGATCATATAAGGAAACTCAAAGTTCCTGCAATCCCACACCACCAGAATCCTAGATAAGCCCAGGCACCATTATATCAGGCTCCATCATCGCCGCGAATCAAGATTCCATCGTGATATACGGATCTTGCCTCGAGGCTGGACAAGATTTTGTTGACACTGAGGGTTTCGGTTGCGAGGTTCTCAGGTTTAAATGTAGGCCTCCATGGATGCTTCGCACGGACCCCAATCGAGATCTATATGTGTGCACGAGCCAATCGGCACTTGAACAGTCGGTACATGCGTGCATGAGGATCCCATCGATGTGTGTGCAAAGAGAAGCAAAATAATCCTTTCTCCTGGCCCCACAAGCTCTAGAAATCCCCTTGATCTGGAGGCCATAGCTTTAATCGATCCTTTGGATCGATGAAAATTAAAGCGGGCTGCCGCCATGCACAACAGCCCGAATTTGGGGTGACCGTCTTTCACAAGTGACTATATGCAAAGTGCCAGCCTATATGTTAAGTCTTCAAGGCTTGAAGTAGCCCGGCCCACCCCCAAAAACATCATGGACTCGAGTCCCACTACTTGTACCGCCTTTTCTTCTGCTCCTTCTCGGAGAAAAGCTGTAGAACAGCTTCCCTCTCAGAGGACTCCTTCCAAGCCTGCTCCTTTTCCCACTGCTTCCAGCTCTTGTCGCACCTTATAGCTGCGTTGATCTATACCAAACAAGTCAAACCTCCCCAACAACATCATGTTGATATTTCGTGACGAGTCTCGTTGAGAGGAACTTCTTCCGTTCCAAACCGTAGGCGGTGTCGTTCTTTTTTTTGGCCTGGGGTTCGGACTCTGCTGATGCTGGTGCAGTCGCTGCCGGTGAGGTTGGCGTGGATGCTGGTACGGCTGCTGTGGTTGCGGCTGCTGCTGCTGTTTTGGTTGCTGCGGGTCGCTGCAACTTGGCTGGTTTTTTCGATGCCACGAGCAGCCGTTGCTTGTGCGGGTTCTGGGGTTGGTGTGTTCCGTTGATGCAAGCTTCGACAGCAGCAGCTGGAATATTAAGTGATTCGGGAAGAACGAGAGCTGCCAGATTGAACTCCTCAGCTATTTTACCAGACTCTTGAACCATTTGATCTGCCATGACAACGATTCTGTATATATGTGTATACACACACCGAAGCCTAGGAACTCATCGAAGCAGGATTGTTGTTTGACCAAGCTGCCTCAGGACAGTCGGTGGCCCTCTCGCGATTGTCGGCCTGCACCTGTTACACAGGGAAAAGAAGTGCGAGACAAGATCCTCCGTACTTCACATGTTCAGGGTTTGATGATCTCCACCCACTGCTTTCATGAATGCTTGCATGGGCTTAGGGCTCAGGGTCTAGAGAGTTTAGGGTTCCAAAGAAATAAGGGTTTAGAGTTCAGGGGTTTTGGGTTTTGGGTTAAGTAGAGATAATGGTGGCCCGGCCTTTTTCACAAACCTCCCTTTCTCACCCTTTGGATGCCTGGGTGCATGTGGACCAGTGTAAATCAGATGCGATTCCAAGGACAACCATTGCATCGCCCCACTGTATAGGGTTTGGGGGTTTATAGGGTATACAATCCGAGAGTCTTCTCCTCGACGGGTGCACCCAGGGTCTCAATGTTCTTCTCCTGGGGGTATGTGATTCAAACAAAAGGTGACATGTATGCACAGTCAAGCAGAAGACAAGTGGGAATCGTTGCCGCCGAGTGACGATCAAGTTCACGACATTCTGGTGCACCCGAGCGTTCTCGGATGCTTTCCTCTTGGCCTGCGATAAATGACTGTTGCAATTTGAAGACAGACACATGTTATTCGGAAACGAGCGGCTGTCTCGCAGGTTTCAATCAAACTGTCCATTTCTTTCAGGAGAGCCTATCAGCTCAGCATGTTAACTAGAACCTCTGCATTGAATGCGGGTTTCTTCACCGGCCTTGGCTGGTGCATCCTCGGGGTAATCGCCGCCGTGCCACTGATCACTGCTGCTTGATGGTTCCTGGACATGAGATGCGAAAATATGGCGTGCCGGTAATAAACTCGCACCCCTATATCAAAATGCATCGCCATCGTTCCACTGTAGCCAGGGCTGGCCATCAGACGACCAGTCGTATGCTCCGGCGTCCTGACAAAAACGCAGGATCTAAAAAAATAAATATAGTTGTAGGTGTACATGAATATACACACAGATCGCCCTCGACCCTCCTCGTCCGATGTTATCTCGACATAGTCGTGTGTCTTCGCCGTGGCCTGCGACCGATTATTTTGTTCTATATTTATATATTTCTATATTTATAGTATATACGGATCCGTATATACGTACCTATACATATCTACAAATACATGTATATATATA